GATTGGAAATAAGAGTGATAAAATGTTTTAAAAAAATAAAGATAATACAGAAAAAGATTTAAAAATCAAAAATAAAATTTCTCAAAGTTATAAATTGACCCTGAGCCTTTCGAAGAAGGTCTGTTAAATCTGCCTAGGCTCAAAGTCCTCCCGTTGGCGTTGTGTGAAAGTCCGGTGCAGTGCGCGTAGCAATAACGGACACTGTACACTCCCGAATTCCGACGTTTTTTTCCCGTCTTCCGTAAACCCACGACAAATAAAATTATTTTCTGTCCTTCCCATTAGTGCAATTTTAATGGCGAGCAATACGTGCACAACCTGCTATATATTTGTGAAACTTAATATTTTCTGTAAGGCTCACATCTTATGCAATTCGAATTAACACTATCCTGAGATTTATTATTAAGAACGATAATGTGATCATCTTGCTGTTCTCAGAAAGCGAGAAAAATATTTCAAATCCATGTTTGTTTTTAATCTACTACTTAAAAATGTAAATACGGGTATTAAAGCAAACTGTATGTTTTGTAGAGTTCGTTAACTGTAAATTTAAGAATATTTGATTAACTGAAGTCATTTGATAAGACCGAAAACAACTTATCCAATAAAAAGCGTAAATATATAAAAAAAAAATTATGCATAATCTACTTCATTACACACAGTAATTGCTTTATTTTTTCATTAATTTCTTAAAATTCTCTCCGGCACACCCGCACCGAAATCATTTCATTAAAAAGTAATCTCAAACATTATTTGATAAAATTCTCCGAATTACGACCTGGTGGTTGCCTTCGCTGAAAATAAACCCAGAACTCTCCTGCATCAAATTTTTCAACTGCGAAAAGGTCAATTTATTAACCTCTGGGAATTTTTCAGAATCTGAGCGCGATTTTTAAATCTAATTCTGTTCTGAAATTTTTGTTGCTTCTCGGGGCTACCAGATAGCGACACCATTCGTTCTTCTACTTCACCTATGTTAAATGATCTCTGCTTTTGATTCTTCATATATATGTGAACAACTTTTCTTCTCATATTAAGAATATTTTGTGTGAAATTGATGGTCACAAAATACTTCTGATATTGCGATATAAAGCTGTGCTTTGCAGAGAGAAATTTAAAATTTTTATTTAACTATGTTTCAAGAATACTTATATTTCATGTTGCAGAACTTTTTTACTCCTACTATTAGTTCACACTCTCCTTATACATATATATATATCTATTTATATATATTTTGTTCAAGTTTTCAATAATTAATAAAATACTTTTTATTCATCCACTTAAGTCAAATATATTTTTTTAACTTGTAATAGATGACACTTGATGTTAATACAGTTTTTTTAAATATTTAATTCGTTGATTTTTAATTAATGAATAAACAGTAAAAAACAAAACTAATGTTCCAACACGATATATAAAAAGGAAAAATCGCTCGTTGTGTCCCTGTAGCGCAAGGGACAGCGCGTTGAACGTCTCATCCAAAGGTCGTGGATTCCAATCCCATCAGGGATGACCTAATTTCTGAGAATGCGATTTCTTTTTACCGAACTATTTTATTGGAATAGTAACAAACAAAAGTAACACATAACACCATATACAGAAAGGAAAATCACTTTCTATTTATCCACTTAATATTGTGATTCTGTCATATGTACATAAATATTTATATTAGTTGTAATAATTTAATAAAAAGTAACTAAAATAAAATTTTCCTTGGTTGACCTAAATATTTCTTGTTTTATTTATGTTGAAGGAATAGTCATATTTTGTTTTGCTTATTTTTAAGTTAATAAACATCTTTTAAATGATGTATATATAAAACCATAAATCTGTGGGAAGCGAATTTATTTCCTAATGCGTGGCACCATGAATCGCCACAGCTATAAGGTTGCCGACCCCCTTGCTGGATATTAGAAAAGTAACTCTCACTAGAAACATAATAGACAAGAAGTGATCCACAACTCATACAAAAGTACATTTTATTATACACAACAAGATGAGAAACTATCTACAACATTATTTTTCGTTTTTGCACCCAAGTATGTATATTAAGATTTCTATTGAGTAACAATTTTATTTCTTTGTTATTTTCTGGAGTGTACATCCATTTATCAGTTTTTCACTACAACGTGAGCAAAGTATATATATATGTACAAGATATATAAAAGAGTATTTACATTACAAACAATAAACATTAACTGAAAAAAAAAGAAGCAAAAATTACAAAAACAAGACTTAAAATACAGGAGAACTGTTTAATCTCAGTCTTATTGGATGCATGTCATCAGTCCATAAAAAAAGCGCGGATAGTAATAGTAGGTAAAGACATAACCCTAGTTAATCTCAAAAGTTATTCCAAAAGCATTGTAAAAGCTACAGAGGACAATATATGTCTGCGAGTACAATACAATTTCACTCTTACTCAATAAAACAGCCTGGGGGTTGGGGGGTCCCATCATTGTCGAAAGAAAAAGCACAACTGCATTTGTTCCTCCTTAATCCACTGTTAAAATTTCTAACTTTCCAATCAAAGCACTTTTCCTCTATTGGGAAGATCTTGCAACTGAATACAAGAAGATTTCATTCTTATCTTCTTTCACAGGTCAAAAAAGTTCATTCTCCTTGCCCTTATTTGGTGATGAAATTTCATTGAGTAAGGATGTACATAAACATGATTCGTGTATCGAACTGAATTGTGAACAAACCTAAACTGAATTGGCAAAACAATGTTGAAAAGAAACTATTAAGAATCAATTGACGATGCCCCCTTCAAAATGGCAAAGTAACCAAGATAATTGCTTCCAAAAATTCCACAGTATAAAATTCTTTAATGCCAATATTTATTAAATGATGCAATACAAACAAGTTTTAAATACAGGAATTTGAAAACAGTAAAATATCGTCAATGTAGTATTTTTTAAAAAAAAGATTTGGCATTTTTAAAGAAAGAAAAAATTGTATGGCATACTCCTCTGCAAAAATTCAAAAAACACAGTTTAATGAAAAAAGAAAAAATCATTTTGCTAAATTATAAGTAATATTTTTCCTTACAACTCAAGAACAATATAATCTCAATAAATATTTTCACATATTAATCAAAAACATCACATTTCATAGTAATTGAATAAATTGTTTCACAAACTATTTACACTACTCATATAAGAGACTTCAAATTAATTTTATATGCATACCCTATTTTTTTAACATCCAAAGTGAACAAATTGAACGATACAATGAAGATTGTTATGATTCGTGCATATAGAATTATCAATACATTCATAATCATTTCAAATGGGAAAAAAAAGTATAATTCAACACTAAATTATACTATACATTGCAAAAAATAATAGCTTCAGAAAACAAGAAAAATCCACTTTTGAAAAATAATGGACCATCTTACATACTAAAAGGTTAAGAAAATAAAATTTAAAAATTGTGCTGGTACGGTGCTGCGACCTTCATTTTATGGATTGAAAATAATGAAGCTTCTGGGCAGATGAACAAAAATAATAATAGTAGTATAACAACATAATATTATATAAAAACTTTCACTTAAATAGTAAGATGCAAAATATTTTGTAAGCAACACAAGGATGCAAACTTGCAAAAAAAAAAAAGAACAGTTCTTTTTTTTAAACTCAATAACACAACATGCACACAAAAATCCTTACAAATCAAGAAGCACAACAGCAATAAATTTTATCAAGTCATTGAGAATATTAAAGCATAAATTATAAATATCATCCATTACAAGAAAAGTAACACACACACACAAATAAAATAAAAACAAATTTATTAAAGGATGAAATATTTTAATAGTTAAAATATTTGATAAACTCTATTTAATCTGCTAGTGTAAACCCTAAAAACTTCATCAGTGATACATTTTTAGTAAAATTTCTTTAAGAACACCTTTAAGAAATAAATCTTTGAAATTTGATTTTAACTTTGGGCTACCTATTCTCAGCATCCATTCTCCTTAAAAAGCAAAAGATCATTTTAGAATGCTAAACAGATTTAAAAGACTACGGCTCTCGAATGGGGTAGATAGTAAAATGCCAAAAAGAATCATAGCGTGACACGAATACAATTGTATAGACACAACTCGATAAAGAAGTGTTTACGTATATTACCATACATTCCAATTCCCAAACTTTTAAAATTAGGAAAATAAATGATCGATTAAAAATTTCATAGCATAACAATTAAATACAAACCAATACTTAAATGTCAATAAGAAGCTCTCATTAAACTTATAGCAATTTATAAGGACTGAATTGCTAGAAATGTAATGAAAGCAAAATATTTTTTATTTTTGTCACTTTTCTCAGAAGATCTCCCCCCGAAATCAATCGGAGGCATGTTGGCAAACTTATTTAGCTGCACTTTAAAAAAACCCAATATATTGGAACTTGGATGTAACAGCTAAACACTGGCAACTGTGTCCAGCAAAGTTGCTTCTGTACAAAAAGAGAAAAAGTCTTCCTATGGCACTATCGAAGTCTGTCCTTGTCGATCTTCTGGTCTTCTAAGTAGATAGGCGTGACACGGGCTGGCTTGAAAGACCTGAAGAGAAACAAAAGAACTTGTTACACAACCAACACTACTCGTTCGTTTACATTCTATTTAATTTATAGACACCCCCTTAAATGTTTAATATATTTTTCTATAAAATGTAACAATAATTTGATATTAAAGGTTCTGTTGCATCGGAATTACTAAAGGTTTCTAATTCTCTCCTCTAAAGAAACTTCTACCTCATTGTGCACTTCTTTGTCTTATTTTAATGCTCAGATTTTCAACTATTTTAAAGGTGATTTTCCTAAATCTCTAGTTAGTTTTCTAAACTTTAAAAACATTTTAAATTTAAGTAGACATGAGCATGAAATTTACCACCTATTTATTAATAATAGATACATATTGACATATACTATTGGCTTCATTACAATGTGGGTATTTGAAAAAAATGCAGATTTAAAGATAATCAAAAAGTTTAAGTCTATTACAAAAGTGAAAACCACTGATTGAAATGTCCATTAAAACACTTTCGACATTGCCAGCTTAAAAGTTTTGTTTACTCCATGAGTTTTATTACCTTCCCTCCATTTAATAAAGGCACAACACAACAGAAAAATAGCAGTTTTTTTTATTTAACACTTTACTTAAAAGTTGCTACACAACACCTTTCTGATTGGACAACTGTAGGGGATGCGACAAGCCTGAATATTCTGGATCTTGCGGTTCTAGGCACTCTATATTTTCAATGGGTCCCCTTCCATATTGGATTGGAACACTGCCGACCCCTTTCAGGGTAATCCGGGTCTAACTTTGACCGAACTCTTCTCCATTAAAAGGATGGAATTAAATGCGTTATGGAGAGTGCCACCTGCTCACCCTTGGTATTTTGGAAAAAGACATTGTTGGTGTCACCACTCCTAGGAATCAACAGATGGCTCTATCGTGCTGTTTTGGAGCTGCCTCTTACTTTTCAACAGGGCTGGAGAGTGTCATGGGTGCATGTGGCTTATCAGATCTCCCCCAGGTCCTATTCTTAATTGCCTGAATTTTACTGTGGATGAGGAAATTCTATTTCATTTTTAGATTTTTTTAGTGATTTTTGGTTTTAGGAGATGGTGTCGAGGGATAAGAAACAACTTTTTAAAAGTTGCTCACAAAGAATATACACAAACCTCAATGAAATAAAATGAGAAAAGAAAGCATCTAGAAGCATTTGATATTAAAAAATATCATTGTGGTATGCTCCAAACAACTATTACCCTCCAAAAACATTTTTCAACGATTTCCACTTTATTAACTTAATGTGGGTGAGTGAGTGTTTGGGTTTATGGCGCAAGAGCCAAATCTGGCTAAGCTGCGCCAAACATTTGTTAAAATATGAAAGTAATTGTTAAAATATTTAAAGAACACTGGCAATGCACTCTCAATCAAAGTTAGAATATCAAAACATGTATAAAAAACCTATTCTAATGATAAAAAACAACAAATTGTGGTAGGGTGGTGGCCCCCCCCCCCATGGGGGGCAAGAGCTTAAAATAACGGATAGGTTTAAGACAAAGAAAGGCATTAAATAAAATTTAAATTAAGACATGACAGAAATATAAAAATTGCTATTAAAATTCAATCCAGTTTGTTGCAAAATGTTTTAACAGTAAAGGGTAAAAAATTATCGCTGACTGTTTTTAAAACGGGTTGGAGTTATAGTATGCAAATATGTTCACGTCTCCACAAGCCTCGTCTTGCCAATATTTTTCTGACAAGTAATATTCATCCTTTTCCTTTTTCGGCATTTCCACCTCTTCTTCAACATCATATACAAGCATGTCCTAGTCTATTGTATCCTATAAAGGTGTGCTTTTTTTTGGGTTTGTGTGGTGTCAATTGTATTTCTATTTTGGGGGCAATACTTCTGTTAGGACGTTTTTTCCTACGATTTTTTGAAGTTTGTTTTGCAGCCTGGGGCGCAGAAGGTATCGTATTGGATATAGTGGTAC